GGCCTACATTGGTGTCCTCACTTTATATTCGTTGTTGGCCTATACATTATAACCATTCCATGTCTGCTTACTGTATATCCAATATCATCATGATTAAAACTTTAACCGAACTTTGCCGTCCAGTTTAGTTAAATCTAACATTGCTGAGAACTTTTTTCCCCCTATTTATGAATTATTTTTCATATGTTCATGATTTGAATACAATGAATAAAAATATACAGTGGAAACCACTTAAACAGAACATGTTTCATCCGAAAACAACGTTGAACTGAAAGTAAATAAAATCCCTGATTTTTATTTCTTCTATTCAAGCAACCTCTTTACACCAAAAATACAGCTAAGCTAAAAAAAAACATGATGGTCCCACAACATACGGAAAAAATCGGGACTTGAATATGAGCATGTTGGCAAAGTGCATGTTTGCTAAGGGTGTGTTCAGTAAGTACATATTCACTATGTGCGTGTTCGCTAAGGGTGTGTTCCTATGTGCAGGCTCCCTGAGTGCAGGTATGCTATAGGCGTGTTCGCTATATGTGTGTGTTCCCTGGGTGCATGTTTGCTATGTGCATACTAAACTGTGTTTGCTTTCACATTTACAGTACAGAACCCACAAAGTCAGTGCCAAATTTTTTTACCGGGCCTTCTTAAAACTCTGTCCTCAGAGAAATCATTCAGAGAAAAAAAAATGCATGTGTACTGATCACAATGTAAGCACAACTCAGTGTAAAAAAATCAAGCTAACACATCTAAGAAAAAGTAATACAAGTAGAAATTGCCATAAAATAATATGCGGCAAAAAAGTATGATTATAAAAAGAAAGTTTATGATAAAAAAAACTTAATTAGATCTATATGTAGCCTACTTACAAAGAATTGTACATATTGAAAAAACTAAAAGACAAACTGTCACCAATAACTTTTAAGTTAAATTTAATTTAACAAACTTAATTAATAGAGCTGGGCAATGAATCGATTCTGGAACCAATTCCCATGATTAAAACTTTGGAAGAAAAGTTCTGATTTCTTTATACGTAAACAAACAGATTACTTTATTCATTAAAATCTTTCTTTTTTAGAATTCATTTAAAAAAAAAAAAAAGGTATTGTTGCTTCGCAGTGTTCAAGGGAAAAATCATATCATAAGAAAGTAATTGGGTTCAGAGTCACTTCCTTCCATTCCTAGCTTTCAATAATCGGGAACCTAACTGCCCACCACTTTTAGTTAAACCCCTCAAGCAGTATATTATAATATTAATAGAGGTAGAATTCAATGGGGTTATAATGGAATTTTGACCGTTTTCTTTCACTTGAAAGTACTATGGTCATAAAACCCCTGAAAACATTTTGAATTCAATCCAAAAAATCCTATAGATACAAGCTGGCCTTAATTAATATTTTCTAAAAGCCAGATGGTTTGACAATATTATGCAAACTGAAATAAAACAAAACAAGCAAAATATTTTTCAGTTAAAACTCTGAACTATATGACTATTCCCCTGTTTTTGAGGGGTGAAAATATGCCTTTGTTAGAACTGGAAAACCCCCAAACCCAGCAGAATATTTTCTTGTGAATTAAATATATGTTACAAAAAGGTAGCAGACTCATTTTCCTTGTAAATGTAGTACATTCATATTTGTCTATATATTTGAATATATATTTTCCTTGTAATATATATTTGAATATATATTTTCCTTGTAAATGTAGTACATTCATATTTGTCTATATATTTGAATATATATTTGCATATATATGCTTTTTTGAAAATACAACATCAGCACTAAAAGTAAGGAATTCAAAAAATTCTTGTCAGCCATGTTCAAGGTGTTCACTTTACTTTAAATATTTAGTTTTTGAAAACGTTTGCTCACAGACATAAGTTGTTCTAATACAGTCAAACCTGCCCTGACGGCCACCTCTATAAGACGGCCAGCCGTACAAACGGCCACTTTCCATTTCCCTCCTTGCGCTTTTTCTATATAATTTGACTGTGTAAAACGGGCACCTGTCCAACGCGGCCGCGGCCACCATATTTTAACACACAACCCCTATAATACTAAGCAATAATACCTGTCTAAGACGGTCACCTTAGTGACTTCATTACGTTTTATCATAAATTATACATTGGCCCCTGGCGTTGTGGGCGAGCCGTCTTAATTCAGTCACCTGTCGTTGTTGTTAGGTAGTCCCTCCAACCGATCATGTTGCGTAGGCCCCTCCCACTGTTGACCAATAGCTACCAATTTTCAGCTGCTGGTGAGGTAAGCGTGTGATCCCTCATAACCCATAAGCCCCGCCCAGAACTCATACACAAATCGTAAGTGAGATGAGAGGTCACTGTTTACCCAGTCTGTAACAAACTAACAAAGGACGTCAACATGAACTTGTGACAGAAGCGTCGCTCGTTCTCCGAGTGGCGGCGACCCATGTGTTTGTTTTTAACACGCATGGCACTCGGTCTTCCTCGTCTGATACATTTCGTTTTATTGTCACCCTTGTGCAAAATCAGCAACAAAATAAAAATTACAAACAAAATACAAACCTTCACCACCACCACCACCACCACCACCGAAAACAACAACAATGCGGCTACTTTCGATTGGGGCCTTAGATGAGAATGGTTTGTTTCCTTCATCTTGATCAGTCCTGCCTAAGACGGCCACCTGTCTTATACGGTCACTTTTCTCCTTGACAATGGGTGGCCGTCTTACACAGGTTTGACTGTATACTGATACCATATCTGAGGCCAATTTCTTCAAATTTGGAAAATCATCATCAAGAGTGTGATAGCTTTGAGAGAGAGAGAGAGAGAGAGAGAGAGAGAGAGAGAGAGAGAGAGATAGTTTGAGAGAGAGAGAGAGAGAGAGAGAGAGAGAGAGAGAGAGAGAGAGAGAGAGAGAGAGAGAGAGAGAGAGGGGGGGGGAGATTTGATTTATGCTAAATTGATCCCAAATAAGCACTTCCATTTAGAAAAATGGATTTTGAAAGTCATGTGTTAATTCCCAACCATTGGGCCAGTACCTGGTCCAGTCATCTTGAGCCCTGACAGAAGTTGAGAAATGAAGATATCAACAAGAAGTTTCGTTTTTGGCTTGTCTCTCAGTGGCTGCATTCCATTCTTCTGGCTCAGGGAACGTAAAATTTGATTGTGTTGAAAGACTGATTTGGAGATACACATACAGCATGAATCATCATCATCCGGTGCCTTGCCGACTGGCGTGGGCGATCATGGACCTCCACTTCACTCTGTCTTGCATTGCAGCAATGGTGTCTGTTAATCTTGCTGCTCCTAGCCATGTTGTCATCTTGTCCAGTATCTTTTCCCTTTGTCTGCCTCTGCTTCTCTTCCCATCAAACTTGCCTGTCGTTACAATATTCTCCAATGCTTCTTTCTGCATTGTGCGTCCGAAGAAATTTGCCTGTCACTTTCTTATATATTCATCATAAGCTGTCTTCTGCAATTTGCTTCAACCAAGACTTCTTCATTTGTTTTTCTAGCTGTCCAGGGGATACGTAGCATGGTAGCATGCGTCTTATGAATCACAACTCTGACGCCACAATTGTTCGTTCCAGCTGTTTATACAGCATGAATAGTATAGGAATAGAAATCATTCAAAATAGCAGCTCAGTTATGGACATAAGATAAAAATAGCTGATGACACTTGTTGGATCAAGTAGGCTTTGAAAGAAAATAACGTAACAGCCATGAGCACAGGAAACAACATAATATGTGAGGCTTCATGGTGAAATCAGGTGCTTGTCAAAATAATAAAGGCAAAGAAATTGGCATTTTTCTGACAGTTGGGTATTTTTTTTTAAATTTCATTTTTTTGGCTCAACACCTTTTGTGTCCATTTAAATATACATTTCTGTGTGGGTTTTACTGAAAAACATTGATTAAAGGCACACAAAATGTAAATTTTCAGTTGCCAACGACTCTCAAGCTACGAAAACTACCAAACTTTGGCAGCCATTTTCTCGTTAATTTCACTTCTGAAACCAGGCGACCCTGACCTCCTTCAATCGCAAATATTTCAACTTCTATTTAACATAGATGGATATTTTTTTCGCCGAAAGCAAGGCAAATGAACAGGCTTTAAGATGACCAGTAGCCAAAAATGCCCAAAAATAGACGAACGCCTGATTCCACCACATCACAACACATATATTGATTTACAAAAACAAGCACACAAACCCTTCAGCTCTTTCTTCATTCCTCCAACTGATTGATGATATTGCAAACTCACAAAACCTTCTCCAGGCCAGTGCATGTACACAACACAAATATGAAAGTTGCCTTTCGGGTCACATATCTACACATTACTCACAACCAAGTTCTGTGTACATCATGTATACTAATGATGACATGAAAAACATACAAAAGAAATACGAATCATAGGAAGAAATGATTAAGCATACAATAACATGACTACAATTAAAGAAAGATTTGTGAAATAACTAGACCATGGTAAAATATTGGATTACGAGGCAAGGGTAGGCCACGGGAAACATGGAGGAGATGCGTGGAAAGGGACATGAGAGAGATAAAGCTCACTTGGAACGAGCTTGGAAGGATGGCTCAGGACAAAGATAAATTGAAGGAGCTTGTATGTGGCCTATACCCTGCCAGGGGTGAAAGGCATTGATGATGATGAAAATATTTGACACTTTTGATGATTTAAAAAATTCAGTAACCGTGATTATATGCAGCACTTATTATGCAGTGTTATGGATAGAACCATCCTTAAAACAGAAATAAGATAAATGCATTTTTAAGTATAGTTGGGTGTTTTTTCTGGCAGATGCAACTGGGAAAGATTAAGAATTCAAAGAATAGCTTGTCCCTTCATGGCAGAATCAGATTGTCACATTGAAGCCAGGTTCAGAGAAAGGCATGAATTATGATCAAATATATGATGTGGCATACAATAAATATTTCCAAAAGTAGATGTACAAGCACCTGTAAAAATGGCCACTTCCCAGTTCCTTTCTTGTATGTTTTCTTTTTTTTTTTTTTTTTTTTACTAATGATAATATTCAACAAGACCACCTGTCTAAGACACCCACTTGTCTTCTCAACAATGGGAGGCTGTCTTTGACAATTTTGACAGTACAGTCTAACCTGTTTGTCCATTGTTGAGGGGAAAACTGGTCATCTGAGACAAGAGACCCTCTAGATTGGATTCATTATATATAATGATACCCAAAAATGCAGAGGGGGGGGGGGGGGGGGGTGGTAAGAAGTGATTATTTGCAAAGGTGATTGTCTTGGGGAGGTCATTAGAGCAAGTTTCAATATTTGTAAGGCATGATAGTTGCATACTCGTTGAAATTGAACAAACTCTCATTATGCGAAAAGGAAAATGATTAAGTGACACAGTACTGGAGAAACTTTCCAGACCAAAGGGAATTGCTGTTTTTAGACTCTGACATTATCATTAGAAATATAAACAAAAATACTGATTATGCAAACAGGATTTCTAAGATATCACGAAAAGATTACCTTGACTGTCAACATTTTCACTGACCAATTTAAAAAAGGGACAAATTTGATCTCGAGATAAACTTTAAAAAAATTGTTACGGTAAGTGTTTGACACCCTCATCATCACAATTTAGCCCAAATATAGAGAGAAAATGGGCTACTTTGACCATGCCTGTGAGCACCAACATGGGCTGAGAGGAATTCAACATTCCAGCAGGAATCAAATTCACACCCACCTGGTGCAAAGGCAAGGAGCCCAATTGTTACACGACAGACTTCAGTAACTCATGGTAAGGAGCTAAGCTAGCACACCAAATGTTCTGGGTTTGGAACCAGTTTTAAGTGTAAAAGACACGCAGGTGGAAACAAGGGATTTACTTCCAGGTCTCTCCACACACCTCTCAGCTCGGAGTAAGAAAGACTGAAATCCTAGTTTATCTAAAAGAATAAATAGTGCACATAAAAATATTTCAGATAACGTCATGTGCAGCTGACAAGAACAGTCGGACGGAAGAGCGCCAGTGTGCGATGAGTATTATGGTGCATTATACAAGTAACAGAATTAACGGTAACAACAAAGCATTTATGAGGCAAGGAAATGACAAGATACATACACATATAATCTTGAAAGTAACACAACTAATATTGAAAATAGAATTATCATTTGATACCCGCTGGCAATTAATTAGAACTAAAACAATCAGTAATTTGAGTTTTACAACTATTTAAATTTCAAGAATTTTAAACATTCCTCTTCTTCTTGAAACTGCTGCAGACTTAACACTGTGGCTTCTCTTTCACTCTTGAATGCAAGGTTACGAACTAGCGTCCAAGATAGAATTGATGTATGTCATGAAGTCAACCTGCAACAAGTCTCTAGTAAAACATGTCCTTCATTTTTCAACTCTGACAATATAATCATACTGTAAAACTTGCTCTAACAGCCACCTGTCCAAGACAGTCACCTGTCCAAACTACTTCTCATCTCCTCCCTTGAATTTTTCAAAATACAGTCGAACCTGCCAAGACCGTCACCTGTATAAGACACCCACCTGTACAAACAGCTACACTCTATTTCCCCTTTGCCTTTTTCCTATGTAAAGGCACAACATAGAATTAAAAAGATACATTCCATTATAGAATCCCTAAGTAGAATCTAGATGTAGGATTCTTAGTAGAGACCTCACCACAAAAATCCCAGCTGCAGGCTGAGCTTCCTTTTCTCACTTCACTGCATTCATATCATTATCTTGAATTAACTTTTACATCCTTTGGAGGGTAATAATATATCAGGTGGAACAAAAATATAAGGCCTAAAATGTTGTTTTCCAGTTTCCAGGCTTGAGTTACTAGTGCTGTGCGATTTTGAGGAAACAAAAATTCATGGAAGCTTCAAAGCGTGAACTCACTATTCATGCCCTTCGAATACCTCCGTCGATTTTTTTTTCTCGATATATGATAAGGATAAGCCCAGATCTATCTTCCACTATTCAACATTTGCTAACTATTCACAGCGCTGTCGAATTTTTTTTTCCTTATAAATAATAAGCCCAGTCATAACTTCCGCTATTCGAAGTGCTGTCGAATTGGTGTATTTTTTATATATGATAAACCCAGACCAAACTTCTACTATTCAACATTTGTTAACTTTTCACAGCGCCATCGAATGTTTTTTTTCTTATATGATAAGCCCAGACCTAACTTCTGCTATTCGAAGCGCCGCCAAATTGTTTTTTCTTATATATATGATAAGCCCAGACCTAACTTCCGCTATTCAACATTCGCTAACTATTCATAGCGCCGTCAAATGTTTTTCTCTTATACGTCATGAGCCCAGACCAAACTTCGTTATTCAACATTTGTTAACTATTCACAGCGCCGTCAAATATTTTTTTCCGTATATGATAAGCCCAGATCTAACTTCTGCTATTCGAAGCGCCGTCGAATTTTTTTTTCTTATACATGACAAGCCCAGATCTAACTTCCGTTATTCACAGAGCCGTCGAATTGTTTTTTCTTAAATATGATAAGCCCAAAGTCCAGGTCTAACTTCCGCTATTCAACGCCAGTCACTGAGTGTGTGTGTATTGTTGTCACAGACAGTGCAATGTTATGTGCTTAGAATTTCGAATAAGGGAAGGGGAGCTCATTGCGACAGCTATCTTCATGGGACAAAAAAAATTCGCTGCGCATCAATAGTCAAGTGCCCTTGCTTGAGTTACCCATGGTGAGACGAGTGAATATTGAATTGTAAGAGAGGAATGTTTTATAACTTTTGTTGGCTCCTCTTTTCACTCTGTCTTGTAACCATCAAATAAAGAGTATTTTTGTATATCAAAATGATTTTAGATATATAATATGCTCCAATTTTACTACATTTGAGAAAAATGAGACAAAAATCAATTATCTGTTTTTAAAAAATCACACGGCATTCGAATGGCACTGCCATGCTTCGAATAGCTGTGAACAGGGCAAAAATCATGATTGTCAAATAGTGAAGTCAAATTGGCACAGCTCTACTGGTTACTGTCGTATCTAATGGTCAACACATTCAAATATTACATGAATAGCAGTTCTATATATAAGACGTTGAACAATACATGGAAACAGAAAGCAGAAATCCTGCTAAAGTAAGAATGAATCAAGTCGTAATAAAACGTATAAAACTTTCAATTCACACACAGTTGACCTCACTTAATACAAAGTTGTCAAGCATGGACCCTCTGTTAGCAAGAACAGTTATGTACAGTCTGCGCTAAGCAAGTCCTACTTTGACTTTAAAAAAAAAAAAAAGGCCTTTATGAGCACAACAGTAAGATTGTTCCAAACGTATTGGAAAAACTACTCTTTTTCTTTGAACATAGTATTTACCAGTGATTCGTCAAGTTGAGAATTGAAGTACTCAAAACTGTGGTACCTTTGAAATCCATTCTTGTGAAACTGTCGAAAGCCAATCTTTTTCAATTCCATATATGTTTCATACATCTGCTTGAAGTCACATCTCATGGGCTCATTAGGAAAAATATGCCACTCAAGGAGAAACTGCCGAACAGAGTCCATGAGTCCATCTTTCAGTATTTGATTCATTACTGCCCATTCATACGATTCGATGTCAATCTTCAAAATATCAATGGCTCTCTGTTGATGTAAAAAAAAAGCACATACAATTTTTTAAAATACAGGGTGATCCTTTTTTTCCTGAATATTGCGCACAAAATTTGTACTAGATTAAGAATGTCGAACTTTGGAACAGACATAATTCATCCTAAAGGAATTTGTTTGACATAAAATTCATAAAGAAAAAAGATGTTTTCCAAACCGAAAATGGCTTTTACAAAAACCACCTAAAACGCAAAATGCACCAATTTAAAAGATCTTGTAAGGAGAGTCATGAAATAATTCGTTTGTTTTTTACTTCCTTTTCTTTCTAAAACCTAATCTTTCCATCCCTGTATCATTTTAACAATACTTCTGTTCTCTTACAGAGTTAGAAAAAATATTTGTAAAATTATGGAATTCCGAGGACCAGTGCTCTATATGTCCTTCTTTAGACTGGACACATTTTAACGCGTCATTCGAAATATTCAGCGGTGGCCAAACACAAGGATCCAACCAACAATGAGTATTCAAAGCCACATACACTGTACACCTTACAGTATGGAGCTGTTTCTAAAGACAATAGAGGGTAGGGTGAGGTTGTCCAAATAAAGAGCATTTGTGGAGCTAACATATCCTTGGTTGGACTTTGCCAAGAAAGCAAATGTCGTAGAGGAAATGTTCACGCTTTTCAATACGATGGTAGGAATCAAGAACATATTGCTATCCTCTGATCCATGTCAGCTTCACGAACAGGAAAATGGCACAGTCGTCATGAAAATCTACCTTGATAATGCAAACCGTTGAGATAAAAGGAAAGTCTTAGCTGAAGAAATTGTCTATGGACAGACGTCTCATCTACTGAATCCTGCACCCTGATGACATTTAAAGGGCTGCGAACGGTGTGTGTTTGACCTGAAGTGGTAATTTAGTATGGGAATTTTTAGTTCTGATTCTCTACAGGTCCTAACAGATAGACCATTTTCACCCATGACATCAAAGGTAGCCTTAACACTTTGCAGTAACACGGCCAGCAGTACAAAATACCCCATCTGGTCACCCAGCCAAGAGAGTGACTGCAACGGACTTCTCGAGCTCGGCACAGCCGGAACGGATAATTTTAACTGGCGCATTATTGTACCAAGTGACTGCAAAGGGTTAAGGATACTTTAACACGGAATTTATGAAATGAGTTGGTGGTGAGGAAATATTCAACACAAAATGCTCTCTGCTTTTTAGTTATCGTAACCATGATCTTAACAGGCAAAGGAAACTTGAGAAAAACTATCTGCAAACTTCTGTTGGCCTGTTAGACTACTGTAGCTTGCAATATGGCACAATCGTTGGGACTTTCAGTGGTAGGTCTAATACGAACTAGTGCGTCATGCAACAAACATGAGAAAATAGGTAAAAATGGGTTGTTGTTTTTTATGCGACATGTAGAGAAAATCTATTGTGGATTTTTCTAAAATTATTATCAGTCAAATTCCTTTTGACTCCAAAATGTTGTGTACAAATTTGAAACACAATACTTCGGTGTGGAGGAAACTATTTACAAAAAAAAGTAGTTTAGTTGTTTTTTTTGGATCACCCTGTATTTCATCTGATCAAATTCAACAATCAATCACAATTACAATTAAATATTTTGACCACAAACAAGCTATATGACTGTTGTCTACTTTCTTGCCAGGACAGGATACTTAATATTCCAATACATGTAAAACTTTACCATCTATTATTAGACAGAAGCGGCCCCCCTGTGATTTTTTACTTATCTTTTCTTTTGAGTTTGAGTAGGTGTTTTACAGCACTATTGACTCAATCTTACCTTTTCTAATTGATAGAGTCTTTGACACACAGATATGTCACAACACAGAGGAATCAGGCGCTCCTCAATTTTAGGAATATGGAGTTTTAAGTAAGTAAGTTTATTCAGTGTTTAAGGTCATTGTCCCACATCACATTATATAAAACACTCATTTGATAAGAAAAGTTTCCGTAATGAATAAGTACAGGTTGTGCACATATCTCTTATCATGGGTCAAACATTGCATATTTCTGTCACTGAGCTGAGTCAGGCTGGGAGGGATTAACAATTTCCTTTGATGGACAAAGTGTGAACAGTAGAAAATCAAGTAAAATTCTTCTTCAGTTGCATGAGAGTTACACCTCTCACATAAGGGCAAATTAGTTAATTTCCACAGATAGAGGTTGTTATTTAATAGAAGGCTATGGGTTTTTAACAAAGCTATGACTCTTCTGTTCCAATACTGTGGGAGGTTGGTGATATATTCAGCTGTTTCTTGACACGGAATTGTAAGAGAGAAAACATACTTGCGACAGACTTTTTCCTCTATGTTCAGCACAGAATGGTCAACAAGTCTACTTTTACTTCACTGAGAAAGAATCTATTACTTCTAACATTTTTGAGAAAACCAGGCATATCCAAAACCAGGGAAAATAATAGGTTTTTAACTTCTGTAGCCCAGTTGACTCTGCCCAGTTCACAGGAAGGATATAATTGCATGTAACATTTCTTTGGATATCTGTCATTTTCTAAGGAATATGGAGTTATTGGATACTGATATCATCCTAAAGCTTGTTCTTTTGTTCTGCTTTTGGTGGAAAAAATATATATGTCTTGGCAGGACAAAGTTTGGTGACTTCCAAAGCTTGAGTGTGCATGGAAACTGCAAACTGACATCATTTGTGCCTTTCATTAACATCTTTAGGTAAAAATCAATACAGAAATACGTTGTTAAGTGGACGTAAAAGCTCCTGAGCTAAAACAAAGAAATTCGATAAAAATTGCCCAAAAAATGTTGGTTTCTTCAATTTCATTACTTTGATGAGTGCCTGATATATTCCACCATGCTGCGACATAAATAGCTTTATAATCTAGCCTCTTTGAGCGAGTAGAGTGGGAAAGGGGTATGTGGTCCCCCCCATCAAGGACAGACTGAAGTGTTCTAATATAGGTGATAAAACCTAAAAAACAAACAAACCACCAAACAAATTAAATGAATTCAATATAAAATACTAAAGAACACATCTATTCATTGTTGTTCATACATTCTCCTATAGTTCCATCTTAGTGTTGAAGGATTATTGTACTTATTCATTTCCATACGATGGTCTTTTGTTTGTTTTTGTAAAGTGTTTTACGGCGCTCGCAACTGCATAAGGTCATATGAGCGCGCGGGACACACCTAATATTTTCAGTTGGTAGGAAATTTTGAATTTTGCCTGGGTGGCGGCCGAAGCCTACTCTTATCGATTTTAGACCACCAAGGGATCTTTAACGTGTGCAACTTGCACACGGACCCTCCGAGATTTTTCGCCCTTGTCCGAGAAGGCTAGGTGTAGATCTTTCCTACCAGGAGATCAGGGGTGTGGCAGAAAGACAGCAGTAAGGAGGAGCCAAGGAGTAACAGTAGAAAGGCTGCAGAAAGAGTCAGGAGCCCAGAGGAGGGGGCAAAGGAGGTGAGGGGGTGGGGGCAGAAAGTGGAAATGAAAGCAGACAACAGAACATTGCTAGAGAGCAGGAAAGGAGGTGAAAGGAGACAATTTTAGAGAAGAAAATTTTTTGGTCGCTACCCGGATTCGAACCCGGGACCTTTGAATGAGAGGTCAACACCTTAACCTCTAGGCCACGAGAGCCCCCCTACGATGGTCTGATACAAATAAACATAACATCACAACTGAAAGAGCTGCGGAGCTGGTCTACCATAGAAAACTGCATCTCCCCTCGACGCTTAACGGCAACAGAGGATGAAAAAGTAAAAAGTAAGTAAAGTAAGATATAAATATGATCATGACACCTGAAAGAGGGATAGGGGACCAAAAAAATTGTAAAAAAATATTTTGAAACCTTACTCAAATTCAGATTAGTCAAAGGAACTGCTCTGCTTAGAGTTCTAAAGGCACAAAAGGTAGAGCAGGAAAGGATAGAAAATAACAAGTTAATATCTCAGTTTCTGGGGACTTGAGATCAACCATTAACCAACTTCTGACACAAACCATTTTTTGCAAGTGATTATGAAAATAATAATAATAATAATAATAATGATAATATTAATAATAATAATAATAAATTGCATTTTTATATTGCGCATTTCAACAAAGAAGTGCTCAATGTGCTGTACAATAATACAAAGAACATATGGTCACTTTTAAGCACGGCTATCCCGAAAAATGCTGTTTCTTGAAAATCGAAGGTAAAGTGTCTGCCCCATGTTCAGTTTCTTTGAAAGACAAGGAGAGTTTTCTCTATAACCAAACAAATATACACAACAATGAAACCAAACTTCTCCTATAGGTAGGGAAATGCCCACTTTTGGTGTAGGTAAACGCGGCCGCGTTTTTTCGTGTAATTCTGCAACATTTACATAATTTTGGATTCCCCGCGTTTTTTCACGTTTTTTAAACCTTTTTTTTTCACAAAACAATTAATCAACGCCTCGCTATTTGACTAAGGGAAATAATCACCGTAATAGGTCTCAGTTACGTGAAAAGTTGGTTATTTCCCTTGTTAGAAGATCTTGGTTATGGGTTGGGATTTTGTTCCTATAGCATGTTCAATTTTGCAATCCATCAAAAGTTGTTGTTCCTCATGTCTGCTGATGTTTCATGTTTGGCAGGTTTCATGTTTTGACAGGTGTCCCTGGTTTTAGTAATGTGCCAGCATCAGAGGTCCAGATGTCCCTTTTTTTTTTTTTTACATTTTTCTTTCCTCTGTAGATCTAGATCTACAGCTGAAAGTTACAGAGATTAGATTTTTTGGTTGGTTGTTTTTTTTGTGTTTTTTTTTTTACTGATGTGTATTGTTTTCTTTCCAAATACACAACAAATTACTGATAGGTTCTGTTTTAAATTTTTCTGTACATAAGACATGAAAATCATGAAAATTCGTGTTGAAAAAGTGCAAAACATGTCGCGAATGGTGTTACGGTAACTTGCATAATTTGGAATTTTTGTGTGCATAATTTGGCCTTCTAAATGTGCATAATTCTACGGGGACAGCAAAATCTGGGTTAGCCCCTTGTCGTTAAAAGCGGCCATGTGCAGCGTACATCTCTCTCTCTCTCTCTCCCTCCCTCCCTCCCTCTCTCTCTCTCCCTCTCTCTCTCTCTCTCCCTCTCTCTCTCTCTCTCTCTCTCCAGTACATCCTTGAGTAAAGACATCCCAAAAAAACTTACACAGACACCTTCATATACATTGATGACATCACACAGTCATAAATTGTTACAGAACAGAACAGCAGAAATAACCGATACCGAGAGAACATATAAATAGATACTGAGAGAACATAAAAGTATTTGTATTGAGAATGTCGGAAATTACAGATTGAAGCTGGGCTGAAAAAAATGCGTTTTAAGTGCTAGTTTGAATTTTGTTAAAGAGGTAAGACTCCTGTAGATGAGCTGATGCTAAATCTTGCTTCCAAGAAAATAAAATGACCAGAGCGAACAAACCATCATTTTATCAAAGCTGAGGTGACAGCACAGCAAAGGAAACTGATCAGAATGGGTACCAGTACTTTATCTTCCTCATATACATGTATGTAGGCCTACATCTTTTTAACTGGGAGAGGGAGGTGGGTGCGGGGGGAGTAAATCTTTTAAAACTTACATTCTCATGTCCAAGCATTTTTTTAATGGATGAAAGGGTCCTAATTTTCCATTTCTGATGTTTGTTGAATGTGTATGTATCCATCACAGGCTCAAAACTGTCACTGTCAGTGGTAGCTAGGCCCATGTTGAAGAAATGTACCCGTTCTGACCGTTGGTGATCTTCCACTCCCATGCTGAAACAAAGAAGAAAACATAACCGTAGAGCTTTAAACAGATGTCACTTGTACAATATAGAACAAACAGAGGGAGATAACAGTAGCAGGGTCACAATGTGCTTAGCTTTGGCTGTTGAACTGCAGAAGCTCAGTAAAAACACAAGAAGGAAACACAAACAGATTAGAAGTAAGATAAAGAGTATGACATGGAAACGTTTCTATCTGCCCTCTTTTTCATAACATATGGTAAGGACACAATAACGTAAGATGCAAAACCAAAGCTCAGAAAGCCTGAATGAACTTCAGTTTGCAGATGACCAATGTCTTATTCCTCCAAATCCCCAAATCCTAAAAAATTACAGCATGAAACTGAAGAACAGCTGTGAGCAATTTGGAATGAGAATAAACACATTAAAAACAAAAGTAATGAAAGTTCGCCGAAGCCATAGTCCACTGAACATTCACGTCAATAGCAAACAACTAAAACAGGTCAGAGTTAAATATCCTGGCACCATTATTTTTTTGTAAATGGATCCATAGACAGAGAAATGTAAAAATGCGAACTGAAAAAGCCAACACCATCACCTATCATTTCGCACCCCTTCTATCTCATTCAAACATCTCCATGGACACAAAGAGATAGCTTAACCCTTCAATATTTATATCAACATTATGCCACCTGGACATTGAGTAAAACCCATGAAAGCAAAATCACTGTGTATGCGAGATGAAATATCTCTGCAAGGCCCTAAAAACATCACAAGAAGAGACAGACTGAAAAATGAAGAAGTAAGAGCAATTATTGGAACCAAGCCCCACTTACATTTCATTAAAAAAAACGAGAATAAAATGATTTGGCCACCTGTAACGAATGTCATCTTGCCAGCAAGTCTCGAGAGCCTATAAACACCAAATCCTCAGGCTATATAAAGGAAAAGGTAGGCCACATAAAAGGTGGATTAAGGGAGTCAAATGTATGTATAGTATAAGGTTTTACGGCGCTCGCAACTGCTAAGGTCATATGAGCGCGCGAAACACAAGTTGTTCACTTTTGCAAAAGTTTACTTCACGACTAGTTAACTAATTTACTTTAAAATGCTAAAAAGTTAAAATATTTAAATTCGGTGTAAATACATTTGTGATTTAAAACTCTTTTAAGTAACAATAAAAATTTTAAATAATATCAAATTCACTCTACAACTCGCCATAAAGGCCAATGGCCTTTATAAAATTTAAAATTCTGCTGGGAACAACGACGGAAAAAATATCCTGCAATTTCTTGCATTTATAATATTTCCTTCGGATCTCTCCAAAGTCTAGACATTCTGTTAAAATGTGTCTAATGGTAAAATCTGTGTCGCATCCAACACAGAACGGCTTCTCATCTCCCTGTAGGAGGTATTTGTGGGTGAGGTATTTGTGGGTCAGGGCCGTGTGTCCGATGCGCAATCGAGTAAAAATGACTTCGTCTCTTCTGGAGAGGTCCGAAGGATTTCGCTGTTCTAGTTTGGGTTTTATTTCATATAGTTTATTATTTTTCTGGTTTTCCCAGTGGCTCTCCCACAGACTGGAGGTGTACTTTTTGACTTTATTTCTAAAGTCAGTCTGTGGGAGAGTGTTTGTCGTTGATCCCAGCAGAAGGGATGAAGCTTTCTTCGCCAGGTCGTCTACCTGCTCGTTTCCTCGGATGCCCACATGGCTGGGTATCCATGCGAACATGATGTTTTTTCCTGTTTCGGATAGTGTGTGGATTTTCTGTTGCAGCCTAACTATTTTTGGGTGTAAGAGTGTGTAGTTTGTGAGTGAGATGATGCAAGACAGAGAGTCAGAAAGGATAAGGAAAGATTTGTTAGGAGAATTTTCTACAGAGTCCAGTGCCATGTCAATGGCAGTGGCCTCTGCGGAGAAAATGGAGGCTTCAGGATGGAGTCTCCTCTGGTGTGTACTGTTGGAAGATAGGGCTGCGGCGCCCACTTCATTGTCTTTTTTGGAGCCATCTGTGAAGATGAGCTCTGCACGGGGTATTTATCTATTAGTTTTTTGTATTCTGCTTGAAAAGTTTTGGTGTTTGTGCTTTGTTTGTTGTGTGTGTGGTCAGCTGTAAGTCTACTTTTGCCTTGGTGAGGTGCCACGGAGGGAGGTCGGGGAAAAGAATTTGTTGGAAGTCTTGTTTGGAAAAGTTTAAGTTTTTGAGGTCCTCAAGGATTCTGAGGCCGAAGGGTTTGATGAGTTTTTCGTTGTTTAGGAATTTGTTTATGGTTTCTGGATTTGTTTTAAAAATGCTGTTGTGCGCTGGATTTTCCGGTGTTGAGCTCTGTTTAACTGCGTATTGTAGTGAGAGTTGTGTGCGTCTGAGTGAGAGTGGTGGTATGTTGGCCTCGGCCTGGAGGCTCTCCACCGGAGAAGTGCGGAAAGCCCCCAGAGCGAGGCGGAGTCCTTGGTTCTGTATTGGATCTAGTATTTTTAAGACGTGTGGTTTTGCCGATCCGTAGACTTGACAGCCGTAGTCAAGCCTGGACCGGACAAGGGAGATGTACAGGTGGAGAAGGTGTTTTGAGTCCCCGCCCCACTCCGGATTTGATAGAATTTTCAAAGCATTTAACGCTTTCTGGCACCTCACACGAAGGTCTTTGATGTGTGGTATGAATGTGAGTTTTTTGTCGAAAATGACGCCGAGGAAACGAGCTTGGTCCTGGACGGGAATCCTTTCCCCGTATAGTGTCAAATCCGGCTGCAGCACACGTCTGCCTGTTCGGCAGAAGTGTACTGCAACCGTCTTTGACGGGGAGAACTTGAAACCGTTGTTGTTTGCCCACGTTTCAAGTTTGTGCAGCTGCGTTTGCAGCTGCCTTTCCATAGATCTCAAATGAGGATTTTTCGATCGGCAGCATATCAAGAAGTCGTCAACGTATAACGAGCTGTCTATGCTGTTTTGGAGGGTTTTCACTATGGAATTTATTTTAATTTCGAATAGGAGAGGAGAAAGGATGCTCCCCTGGGGGACTCCTTCCTCCTGTTGGTGGGGGTCTGAAAGGGAGGATCCGACACGAACCTGGAAGGAACGGTTCTTCAGGAAGTTGCCAATGAACGCAGGGAGGTGACCGCGTATGCCGAGTGCATGCAGGTCTCGAAGAATGCCGTACTTCCAGGTTGTGTCAAAGGCTTTTTCTAGGTAAAAAAATATGGCGATCATGTGGCCTCTTTCAGCGAACGTCTCGCCTATAAAGGTCTCCAGGCGGACCAGGTGATCCAGAGTGGATCGAGTTTTCCTGAATCCGCACTGGAGACCGCTCAGCGAGCCCGTCGTTTCCAGAAACCACATGAGTCGCCTGTGAATCATTTTTTCAATTAGTTTGCAGAGACAGCTCGTTAGTGCTATTGGTCTGTAATTGGATACGTGTGTGTGGTCTTTGTTTGGTTTGGGTATTGGAATGACAGTGGCGAGACGCCAAGACTCCGGAAATGAGTGCGTATGTGTAATAGGAGTGTGAGTGTTTCTGAGGGTAAGTGTCTAATGATCTTGTTGAGGATGTCATCCGGTCCCGGGGCTGTATCGCCCAGGTCCGAGATGCACGATGATAGTTCGTCTATTGTGAAGTCTGCGTTGTAGGTTTCAGTGTTGTTTGAGTGGACGTTTAGGTGTTGTTTTTCTCTGTTAGTTTTGATGTTTTGAAAAGTGGTGTTGTAGTTTGCTTGGGATGAGTTTTTGGCGAGAGATGTAGCTATTGTGTTTGTGATGTCTACTTGTGTTTCTTCTGTGGTTCCATCCGGCCTCTGGACGTGCCGAATGGTGTCTGTGCGTCTACCTAAGAATTTTTTTAGCAATTTTGAAAACTTTATTGAGTGGTGTCTGGCTGTTGATTTTGGAGATGTATTTTTTGAACATGCATCAGAATATAACATGGAGTTACAATCAGAATACTGAGTATGTATCAAGCTTAACATTATCATTGTTAATATTACTGTTAATTTACATTATGCATGTGACTGTAAGCCTGCGTGTGTGTGAGTGGGTGTGTGTGCGTGTGTGTGTGTGTGCGTGCGTGCGTGCGTGCGTCCGTGCATACGTGGAGAAACACCAAACCAATGTGCCAGGATCTGGACAAAAAAGATGTATCTTATCTTATTATTGTGAAAATAAAGAACATGACAAAAAGTGAGTTTTACAGTACTCAGAAATACAACGTAATCAGCGCATACAACGTAATCAGCGCAGTGAGAGAGCGAGTTTTTTTGCAGAGATACATGTACTGTCAGTGGTGAGTAATGACATGAATAAATACTACTCAGTAACCTTTCCTGTCGTCACCAATTTTACCACAATAGCGGACTACATTAAAAATTATGAGCAAGGGAAAATTCTGTGTTGTCCGGTTGCTTTGTGGTCCCGACGGTTAAGTTCAACTTCGGAGCTGATCTTTTTTTCATTCTCCTAACGACATTAACTTATCCGTAGTAGACAGCATATGTTAAGATGCAGTCTCAACCACATAAAAAGCAATTTTAAACAGTCATCGGGGGCTCTCGTGGCCTAGAGGTTAAGGTGTTCGCCTCTCATTCATAGGTCCCGGGTTCGAATCCGGGTAGCGACCGAAAAATTTTCTTCTCTAAAATTGTCTCCTTTCACCTCCTTTCCTGCTCTCTAGCAATGTTCTGTTGTCTGCTTTCATTTCCACTTTCTGCCCCTAACCCGTCACCTCCTTTGCCCCCCTCCTCTTGGCTCCTGACTCTTTCTGCAGCCTTTCTACTGCTACTCCTTGGCTCCTCCTTACTGCTGTCTTTCTGCCACACCCCTGATCTGCTGGTAGAAAAGATCTACACATAGCCTTCTCGGACAAGGGCGAAAAATCTCGGAGGGCCCGTGTGCAAGTTGTGCACGTTAAAGATCCCTTGGTGGTCTAAAATCGATAAGAGTAGGCTTCGGCCGCCACCCGGGCAAAATTCAAAATTTCCTACCAACTGACAATATTAGGTGTGTCCCGTGCGCTCATATGACCTTATGTGAGCGCCGTAAAACACTTTACAAAAACAAACAAAACAAACAGTCATCTTTTCTTCATTATGTTTCAAAAGCACTGAAAATTTTCAAGTAAGAGGGAGTCAACCATTCTTTATCTTCTATTTTCATGGACTCTATTGTTCTGAACATTCAGAAACATTTCGCAATGCACATAGTATAAGCCTACCCATACAATGAGTGGTGTGATGATATGACAACTGACAAGAAAACATTGATAACCAATGCAAACCTTAAAAGAACATCAATAATCAGGTCTTCGAATCAAACAAACTGTCTTTGCATCACAAATCACATCACAAGTTGCACACATTTTATGCTACAAACCTTGTAAAATAAAAGCAAACAAGCAATGAAACTAAAAACAAACAGCGAATGCGTGGCAACAACGAGAAGACAGCTTTTACTCAGACACTAGATTTGACTTTGGCATGATAAGAAGACCCCATACATCTAATTTAAATCCAAGGAAAAGCCATCCACACAATCTGAATGAAACCAGGGGTATTCAAAAAGTGTGCTCAAACTTTGACATCACAGTAATAAGACTTTAGTTTTAGTTTTAGTAAGTGTTTTACGGCACTTGCAACACAATAAGGTCATAAGTGTCGCAGATTAGAGGTGTTACGAGAGAGTAACAAACACAAAAAAGAAGGAGGAGAGATAAGGACGATAGATGTTTGAAAAGAAAGAAAGAGCAAACTATACCAAAGCACCCGCCAACCACCCACTAATAAGACTTTAAGGTATTCGTTGACCGACTGAGGTAGAATACATAATTTAAGGAAATAACATCATTTTTATAACATAAAAATTGCGTAAACTTACAAAAATAAACTATGGGTCATATCTCTACAATGTCTCAATATAGTCTATGGTCCAAAAACTACTTATCTAAAGCTTTACTTTAAAAGAAAAAAGAAAGTTAATTTGGTTAAAATCAAATAGTATGGCTATGAAGAAAATCCCTCGCAAGGTGAACATTTAAAAAATACTTTTTTCAGTTTTAAAAACATCCATCTCTCTTCAACATTTTGATGCGGTTTAATTGGTTGTGATTGGAGCATTCTGTTAAAAGTTATGGAAAAGGTCCAATGATAACTTTTGAAAAAAGAGCCTTCACAAACTTCCATGATGTGGTTGCATAAAGAGTGAATCAGAAGGTGGACATGTCTTCAGTCTTTTCTATTGCAACAATGTTCATGCCCATTGAAATTTCCCTGGGAAAGCAGCAAAATGTAATTCTATTTTGTACTTTACAGTTCTGGGGTTGTTTGAAGATTTGTGTCATTCAGCGACAGATGTACAGATTTTAGCAAATCCTAAGTTAAAGGCCTTTTCCTAAAAAAGTATTATACTGTTACAGATACTTTTTATCTGTAGCAGAATATTTCTTTTAGGAAATGACCTTTGAATTAGGATTTGAAAAAAACAAAAACGGTTATCTTTCCATACTTAACAAAACTGTGTTATGATAAATATTAGGTTTATCTTAAAATGATATTATAACTAAAAAGAAAAACCTACTGCACCTTCTGGCAGGTTTCCTCTTAGCCACACAGAAATATAACATGTGTACCACTCATCTGCCTTCTTATCTTCCCATCTAGGCTGACCTTACAGCATTGTTTCCGTGGCAGCAGTGTGATATTCTTCTTTTTCTTTTTGTCAGAGCTACAGACACATTAACAAGCTAAAATGTCCTTTAGACACTAGCAAAACTTCCAAGATAGGAGACATAGAAAGAGGATATTGAAAAAGAGATTACATTAGTTTTCAAAATGATCTCAGTATGGTATTGACAGCAGAGTCAAAAAGAAAGACTCACAAAAAATTTACCTGGGGTCAAAGGAATACACTTCACAACCATGCTTCGCCATGTCATCATCAAAGCTGAAGTCATTGTCAATTCTGCAAAAAGAAAACCAAGGATGGATGTACAATCAACACTAATCTTTCGTGTTAACCACGCCCAAAAAGAGCAACGAAATACAGACAACAACAGAGTTGCTCAGACAGAAAGTTTGCACTTGGAGGAATAAAACAAGCTGAAAAGGATCTTTTCTTATGACCAGTAAACTCTATGGAAAACATTTAAAGATATTTTTTTAATGTAGGTGTTTTCATACCCGAATCCACACAATTTAGATCACTTAATCACTTAGGAAACGGGCTTCGACCCTGTCTGTCAGAATTGAGAGGAATACAAAATCCCAGAAGAGAAGAAAGACTGAGATACACCCGATACAAATTCTCCCCACTCCGGAATTGAACTGGGGTCTCTTGTGCACGATGGCGAAGTCCCTGCTCAACACCTGAGAATTCTGATTGTCTTTCAGAAAGCCTTCATAAAATGTATGAAAATGTGTGACACTGACAGAGGTCTGATTCCTATCAGCCTGTATTTTAAAAGTTTGAAAAAAATATTCTGATGCCTTGATGTTATCCTTTAAAAAAAACAACAAAATAACTTACAGTGCCTTGACAAATTTAGCACCCTTTTTTAAAGTGTAACCTAGGAAGAAAAAAATGTTTGCAACAATTTTTAGTTTACTTTTGTGAAATACCTAACGTTAATGATAACTGATTTATGAACAAAATTTCATGTCTACAAACTTATCTTATATATATATTTTATGAAACAATGAAACTACAGTCAAACTATGTGAAAACTCTAATAAGATTTATTAAAACATTTTTTGGGGGGATAACTGTTTTACAGCCCTTGCAACTGCATAAGATCATATGAGCGTGCATGACACATTAATTAACTCTCATCCTGCATGACACATTAATTAACTCTCATCCTGCATGACACATTAATTAACTCTCATCCTGCATGACACATTCATTAACTCTCATCCTACCAGGCCAAAATCCAGTACTGGCCCAGGGCTTTTCCCTGACCTATTTTTATCCTCCTACCCCACCAAAGAAAAATGTCAAAACATCCAACTAAATACACACATACCGTATCATATGGCACATCAAACGGAAGGTAAAAAAGTAATCTATCAGATGGTGATGCAATATCGAAGATTTTTTTCTTATTGTATTATTTTGGAGTTACTAAAAGTGATTATGCAATATATAAAAGGAGTCATATGGAGTCAACAATTTTCTAGCTTTGAAAGGTCATAACTAAAAAAGCATTAACAACAGCATCATTCAAACTTTACAGGTACGTTGTTTCAAGCAATGCAAAGAAATGTTGAAAGATATTTATGTGTACCTATCATAGAAGTGAAAATATGAGTTGTATACTGAAGTCAGGGGAGCTCTTTTCTTTTCATTTTTGTGTTTCAAAGGGGACAGAAAAAAGAGACTGGAAATCGTCAGTCGGTGCTATATTTTTTTTCGTATCCGCTAACAGGAAGTCTATTCTATTATTTTGAAAACATAGATGGGCCGAGAATTTTGTATCTATTCATTACTGGACTGAAATAGATAACGAGCCACTCGAGCCGTATTTTGCGGCTCTCAGTCCAACCAGGCCACGTCCGCGAGCCGCATTTTCAGTTGAAAGGGAATTTTTAATTTTGCCCTACGGCAGCTGAAGCCTATTCTTATCAATTTTGGACCTCCAAGATTTTTCGCCCTTGTCCGAAAAGGTTAGGTGTAGATCTTTCCTACCACAAGATCAAGGGTGTGGCTGAAAAACAGCAGTAAGAAAGAGCCAAGAATTAGCAGTGGTAAGGCTGCAGAAAAAATCAGGAGTCCAGAGGACGGGGCAAAGGAGGTGAGGGTGTGGGGGCAGCTAGCAGAGGAGACGAAATCAGACGACAGAACATTGTTAGAGTGCAGGAAAGGATGAAAAGGGGGACAATTTTAGAGAAGAACATTTTTCATCGCTATCAGGATTCGAACCCAGAACCTATTGAATGAGAGGCGAACACCTTAACCTCAAGACCATGAGAGCCCCCTAATCAGAGTTATAAGTTATAAGAATGCCTATTTGAGGTACAATAAGAAAGATCAAAACCTCAACGTACTTGAGCATTTGTCAAACTTAGTTTCACTCAACTGCCTCAATAATGAACACTTTGGTCTCTAGATCAATGCACTGTCTTTTTCCGTCTATTGCAATTTTGAAACTTGGATCAAAGCAATCTCCTCCTCCTTCTTTTCATACTCCTGCTAGAGCTCAGGGAGTAGTTGTCTGTAAAATCTTCATCTCACAGTGCAGTTGGTTTTTACCAAGACTGTTTTATCTACTAGCCTACGTATCATTTTCGAAAATACTCATAAATATTTGTACTCACTAAAGTGGTTTCAGTTTTAAGATAAGAAGATGAGATAAACTTTATTGATTCACGAGGGACATTCTGGGCGAACATACCAGACAGATCACCAACTTACACAGATTCAGTATCAATACAAAAATGCACTCATTACATTCTTTTAACTTTAAGTAGGAATTATTTTTGAAGTCTGCCTGGATGATGGCCTGAAAAGCCTACTCTTTTCAATCACAAGAATAATGACTTTGAGATTATTGTAAAATCTGTTTTCTGGTCAGTAGCTAAAGGCTAGACAGCTGCTACAACTAAGTGCTACTGCCCTGAACTCAGGAGATGACTGAAAAATTAGGGAAATCATGCAAAATAAAGATAAATATCGTTGGCATACAAAAATTCGTTTTCAGTGCGTCAGAAGCACATATATATTATTTGTTATGATTAATGATCAGGGCTACCTTCCTAAAAGTTCCCATTTCAAGTAAATTCAGGGTCAATTTCAGGTATTTAGGCCCAAAATCAGGTACTAGAAAGCATGGGTCTCAACTCAGAATTCTAAAAAAGGAGGAACTTTTCGGGTGATCGCCACAGAAGCCCATTTTCGCAAAACACCCATTATTATTATACCGTTGAACCCTAGAATGCAGAAATAAAAACCATCAACTTATCAAAGCAAGGTTATTTCACACCAATTTGAGGGTCTGAGAGACAATTTCAAGTAAGAGTCACGTACCAAATATTTACAATCTTGATTACGTACAAAAAGTGGTGGCGCCTGGGGTCTTGTGCGACTTATATATATATTCCCTTCATCATATTCGCCTATATAAACTATATAAAAAGGAATATTGTTTTGAGCCTAGAACCAGAAAATCGACTGTCATGATTCATATCATACTATATATATATAGGCCAATATAATAAACGTGAAAGACAAAAAATTATTTCCTGATTTCACACAAGGCCTGCACCAACGCACACTTTACTTTGCAGAGAGCTGTAGATCAGGACTTTTTCAGGTAGTAATAAAAATTCTAAACATTAAACATTTGCTTTCAGTTTCAGTTTGTTTGCCCTCTGGTGTTGCGTCCAGTCCTCCCCCTATCCCCGAGTGCGTCTTTTAAAAAAATCAACAATCCCCCCCCGCCCCCCCCCCATTCCTGAGTCCTGTACTTCGAAGCGCTCAGAATGCGCGCAGGTTTAATGACCGGTCACAATGGCGAGCCCGACAAGACGCTTGCATAAATTTCTTTTTGGTCTTACCCCCACAAGTAACAGCACAGTGACAAATATTGATTTATTTTCATGGCCACACCACGTTTGCAATGCCGAACCTGCATACTGCATGTTACAATAAATGTTGCGTTATCAGACAATTACTGACAAACTTGTGGGTGGTAATGAAAGCGAAAGCAGATCTTGATTTTCCAGTCGAGCCTTGGTGACACAATTCCGCTTGCCGCCAAAGCCGCCAGTTCGCGTGAAACGTGCTCTCAGAGCCGAATCAATATCATTGATTGATTGATTGATTGATTGGGTAGATGTTTTACGGCACTATCGACACAATTTTGGTCATTTAAGCGCCATCAGGTTTCACCGCCACAAAATCAGACGTGTTTTTAATAAAGATTCTTTCGGAGCTCGCGACCGCAAACGATCACACTATTTCTATTATGCTAAAAAGACGAACAAACATTTATAAACATTTTTTGTAAATATGGAAAAGGCTTATTTACATTTGTATATACAATACAAATTTCAGTGTATGTATATATGCACCGTATGTATATATACACCGACAACGGCAACTATATATTTTCACATTCTATTAAACAATCCAATTTCTTTTATAAAACTTAAAATTCTTCTAGGTTCTATAATGTCAAAAAGGGTTTTAATATCTTTACACTTAAAATATTTATCACGGACATAATTAAAGTCGACACATTCCATTAGGATGTGCCGAACTGTGAGATCTGTGTTGCACGCCACGCAAAAAGGAGCTTCCTCTCCTTCCAGCAAATGTTTGTGCGTGACGTGCGTGTGTCCTATTTTTAGTCCGGTAAAAATTACTTTTTCTCTTCGTGGTAGAGAAATTGGTTTCCTGGGTGTAAGTTTCGGTTGAATGTAAAGGAGTTTGTTGTGTATTTGTTGATTCCAAATTTGGGACCAGGAGGATGTGATGTGTTCTTTTACTTTCGGTTTCATGTCAGAGAAAGGGATTTTACTATTTTTGTTTTCAGGTAGTTTTAGAGATTCTTTGGCAAATTGGTCAACGGCTTCGTTGCCATCAATGCCTACATGGCTTGGAAGCCAAGCTATTGTAATAGTTTTTCCAGACTGATGTAGAAAATGCAGTTTAATGATAAGTTTCAAAATTCTGTTGTCGGAGGTGTCAGAGCGCTCTAAAGATTTCAGACAAGAGAGAGAGTCTGAAAGGATTAGGAAGGTAAGGTAGACTTGGTTGATTGATCTATAATATTTAGGGCCATTTCAAGAGCTGTAGCCTCAGAAGTGTAGACTGAAGCTTCTGGGTGGAGATTCCTTAAGCTTAAGCTGTGTGGCGATGCAAGGGCAGCAGCTCCTACTGAGGAGTCACTTTTGAATCCGTCTGTAAAGAGTTTCTCTGCTTCAGGGTATCTATTTATTAGCTCTTTGTATGAGTTTAAGTAT